GGGGCTTATACCCATTTAGCCGGTGGAATATAGAGTATTATGAGTGTGAGTGAATTGTGGAGAGAGGTTCTAATTTATTAGCTTGAATGGCAGAATTTATCCCCGATCACCCATAGAAATATTGAATTGTCTTGGGTAGTAAAAACGAAATCTGGTGTGTAATTTATTAGCGTGAATGGCAGGACTAATCCCCAATTATCGAGAGGAATAGCGAGTATTCTTCAATAGTGTATTTGCTAACCAAACTATCAGGTTAATTTTTTTTCTGTGTTTCCATGTATATTTGTTATTTGATCAACATTAACGAAGCCCTGAGGTACAGGCAGACCTCAGGGAATAGGATAAAGAAACAAGATCACACATCATCACATAACTTGGCTGAGGAAACAGGAAAAGAAATTAATATTTTAAAACGCGAGAAAGACAAAAAAGAGCAGCTAAGAATGAGAAGATTAAACAGAACAACAATGTAGTTTACCAGCCCAAAAAAACCGATATATAATTAAAAAATTATAACTTCAATATTAAAGAATCATTGTAATAAGCGAGCTTTCAAGTAGAAACGTTAACAATCTTGTTTTAGAAACAATATTTACAAATTGTATTTTCGGCTTACCCAAAAACGTCATTGCATCATTTGAATGATTTGTATAACAAATATGTGTGTTTGGAAATTGCTTCGATTCAATTAATTATTCCAATCAATTCACCATTTCCATTTGGACATCATGCGTTGTATGAATATTTCAGCTGTCAACAACCGACTGGCGGATTATTTATCGTGAATTATTTCTTAACGACCAATTACGAGTTACATTAGCTTACCATTTTATAAGGAATAAAGTATGTTTATTGATATATCGCATCATTTTAAAACTTGATAATAAAAATAACGATTCGATTGGTTTCACTTACGTTTTGTTATTTAAATAAAAACAAGAGCAATATTGACATTGTAAAAGTTTATTAACAAGAAAACAGACAATATTGCTAAAAATTTAAAAGAAAAAATTAATGAATCACTGCTTATCTAAATTGCTTCAATTGACAAAATAGTTTGAATATAAAATTAATTAAACTCGAGTATGAATTTTATTTCAATTTCATTGAATCATCTGGCAATTTTTTTACATTTAAGCTTGGAAATTGTATAACTGCCTGGATAAATTTCTATTTTTTTTATTGCTAGCAATTACTACTAACAGATTTATCATGCAAATATTGTACTTACATTGGAGGCAACAGGCAAAACTTTGTTCGTAAAACTAAGTCGTATAATGTTAGATCGTCCGAGCATTCTCCCCACGTTTACAACTAGCGAGAGTAGGCGGACCCAAACTGGGCTGAAGTTTACTTAAAATTGTACGATCTGGGCTTAATTTGATCTTGATCTCTTTGAAATTTTCTTTTCACGCCTATTTTATCGTTAATCTTTCTCACAATCAATTAGATTAATTTTTTTATGTATTATCATAAAGGATCATGTTCGGACAGGATGAATATAAGATATTACAAAGGCAGGGTACATTTTAAAGAAACTTTTTTCATGAATCTAGTGTGAAATATATTAGACACGTGTTTGACCGTTTTTGTCGATAAGTCCAAGAAACCAAGAAAATTAAATTTTGAATCTGTAAAATTTAAAGATCTTTTGTTTTTACTATTTATTTTGTTTTTGGGGAGCGGGCGTAATTTATGTTGATTTTAAATATGATTTTGTGTTTTTTATTATTGTTATTATATATATATCGATCGATTATTTTTTTACGTACGATAAGAAAATATTAAGGATGTTTGTATTAAATGTATAAAACGTTACCAAAACAAAAAGATTTTTCCATTCAAGGATGATCCAAAACCCAATTTTTGTTGAAAATATGTTTTGGATTCTGTCGTCCATTTAAAAATTTAAAAACACATCAGGATTTTATCCAAATTCAAGGTTATTGAACCGTTATAAAATTTAATGTATTTCTTTCTTCAGGTTTCTTCTCAGGTTTGCTAGTTTATTAACGGTTTCTGTTTAAATTATACATTTTTGGTTGAATTCGCCAGTGATTTTTTTTTCTCTCGCCGATGTCCTGTGTTTCACATAAAAATTCAAACTCTTTAGATGTTATTCAAAGTCACTGGCATTACATACGTTGGAAAGATGTATTTTTTAGCCTATAACAACAAAGTTTTGTTTTTTCGTCAATGAAAGTAAAAACAATAAACATGAAATGTAAAAAGCTCCCTATACTTTTTATGTTATGTCGTCCGTTCCCAATTAATTAATTCACGGGGATCTAATTGGGGCCATTTCTGTATATTTAAAATTGTAAACTTGTGTAGATAATTTTTGTAAATCTGTGAAATCGGTAGAAAGAGATCACAATTTTTTTTATTTTTCAAAAATTTTGGATTGCATTTGAAACAAGAATTTAAAATAAAACAATTATTATTGCATTGCTTTGTACGTACAATAAGGAAATAGGGTTGTATTAAATAAAATTAGATGCCAAACTAAAAGACACTCTCGGTAAAGTAGGCCAAAAACATTTTGTAAAACCATTTTGTGTTCGTTTTAAGCACACTTTAAAGCCCATAAATAGCTATTATCATAGCATAAAAATAAAAAATTTTGAGCTGGTTTTATACGATATTCTATGTCCGACATAGAAATTCATAACTCTATCTTATCTAAATTCAATTTAACTACAACTGTCAGAAAACTTGAATTATTTCGTTGTAGTCTGGGTAAAAGTGGTCAAAAATAATGAGTTTTTTTGCGCGTATTAGTGAAAAATAAGGATGACATAAAAATTCTTCTTAAACGTTTTATTTTATCTCTCCAATTTTGATTTATTTTTACGGAGGCAACGGTTATGCTGTACATTAGACAAAAAATTCGTTCGAATTCCTAGTTATTTATTAAATATTCTCCAATAATTATACAATTAATTATCATCCATTGGGAATGTTTTCATTTAATTGAGCCATAAGAGTAATATAATTAACACGCAATTTCAATAAAATTGCAAAAATTCGAATGGGTAAAAAGGGCGAACCGGGTAAAAATTTATTACTAAATCCACGTCTATCTTGATCCCACTGTCTGGGTTAAACAAAACAAACAAAAAACTAAGAGAAAATACAAATAATGGAGAAGCGCCAACAGGTGCTCTTAAGCCCCGTTTTTCATCCCTCTCCACCCCCGGAGAAACCGCAACCGCCCCACATAAATATCCTCGAGCAGGGCTTTTTATTAAGGGAAGAATAGAGATCACGCTCCATTGATAAGTGCGGTACGAGCTTGAAAGCCCGATTCTTTCAGGATCGGTGTTCTTTTTGAGTAATCATTTTTTTTCAACTTTTTAAAAAAACAGAAAGAGGAAAACTATCTGCGTTTAACTTTTGATAATCATGAAATAACTTAATTAGTTTTCCTTTTTATAAAAATCAACACATCCAATTATTTGTTCATATTATATTACAAAATTAAGCTGAATAATTCTACAAAAGGAATTAACACATATATTTTGACTTATAGATTTGTTCTTTTCCTTCTTCCAGAATGTCCTACATCGGCTGAGGAGGACGTTGAGAGGTTCGCGTGCCCTACCCCAGACAGAATGGGACGATACAGATGTATAAACGACCACGTGTTGTGCGACGGTTTCATTGACTGCCCAAGCGGGGAAGATGAAGACCGGCAAGCCTGCATGTTTTACAGGACGGTAAGAAGGAAGACTTTCTTAATTAAAAACATAAAAAAAATAACGTATAACACAAATTAATAATAATCAAGAAATCATTGACGGTACACTTCCAGCATCAAAAAACTATTGCTTCAGCCTATACAGTGTACATTACACGTTAATTTTCTACATTACTATTGGCTATTTAATTTGGCGAGAAAATTTGGTCAAAACATAAAGAAAGCTATAACACATCTTATAAAGTTTTTTGTAAAAAGATTGACATAAATAGTTGAAACTGCTAACATTGTACCTGATTTGGTTTAATTCTTTTTCACACGACTGTACAACAGGTTCAAAATTCAGTTTTTGTCCAAAAGATTTACAATAGAAATAATTCAAATATCTATCCGAGCAAATTTCTTTTGTATACCACCTATGCATCAATGTTCCCTCTGGACGTCTGATCATTCCACTCATTTTCAACATAAAAAAACATAAAGTAGCTCTCGGAAAAAGTAGAAACTAGTTAATTTTTTACCATGCAATTAAATAGAAATTTAAACAACTTTCTTAAAACTTACAAAGCAGCTTAAATTTACATAAAAACTATAAACTATTTTAAATTACAAGGTTTTAGAAAGATTTACAATAGAAATAATAGCAATATCAGTCCGAGCTAATTTCTTTTGTACACAATCTATGCAGGAATGTAGTTTTTTTTTAAATCAAGATGATGCTGTGAGGTATTTATAGTGATTGTTATTATCCCTTATGTGTGGAGTTTAGCGACTGTCACGTGATGATTATTCGGAGATCGTGAGATGCGGTCTGGTGTGACGTAGGTTTTAGAAAAACATTTCCTTTATCGCGCCAACGTTTCGATCTTTATTGAGATCATCTTCAGGACCTGGGATTTATAAACATTGTTTAAATTTTACAAATACGTGTAGGATGTGGGAAAAAAATGAATTTATATATTGCCAGAAAATTTTATATTTAATCAAAATATTTTTACTCACTCAAAGTGTTTGTTTTCTGCGTAATTCTGTCATTCTTGTGTGTCGTTTACATTTATTAATTTTACATAAAAATTTTAAAATATTTTAAATTACAAGGTTTTAGAAAAACAGATTTATTTATAAAGTTGTTATCGGGTTGTCCGGAAAATAATGCAGGATTTTAAGTTTTCATTAAAAAAAATCTATATAAAATATTCTGTTTACGTTTACAGGATTACTCATTTGTATGAATGTCAACACTTATTAATCCTCTTCCAAATGATATTGTTTGTTTACCTCTGTAGCATTCCGCTACTTG